TTTATTCACACTGGATGGCTATTGTTGTGTTGGCTGTTGTCGCTTTGTTGATTTAACAATATAAAGGAAAAGAGATCAGTGCCCCTTGGCTGAAGAGTCAGGCATTGCATGTTTTAAAAATTGTTGTGACACACCACTGTGTCTCTTGCGGTACCTGTTCAAAATTGCTGCTCTAACAGGTACAATTTTGGATTGCTTTTCAGTTATATAAGTGGTGTATCAGGTAGGATCCCTTTGGTTCTTAGAGAATACCAATTTAGTTCGTTTAGGCAAAAGAAGATATGTGTTCGCTTTCCTAACCAACTTGTAAGAAAATCAGGGACAAGTGGAACTAGAACTTTGAAGGCAGTCAGGTCAATATCTGTCTGTCCCTTCGTTGATCCCCACGGCTCCATCCACCCTGCACCCTTTCGTATTCCTGCTGTCCAGCTTGGTTTTGTTGAAAGGCATATACATAATGTAGTTGTTATGAGTTTGTTTCCTGAAGCCAGACTGGTTCTGGTTCTGCCTGTTATGAGCGGTATGACCTTGGGCAACTTAGACCTTATGTTTCTTCTCTGTTAAAAAAGGGCAATAACATTCCTGTCTCAGGGTTGCTGTGACAATTAAATGAATTGAATTAAATGAAACATGAAAGATTAAAGCACTGCCTGGCAGATAAGTGCTATATAATTGTTTGCTATAATTATCATTAGTATATTCTTCTTCTCCAGATGGCATTCTCTACGGGAGAGGACATGGGACTCCTGTTACTCCATATTGATATCTTCCTCATCTCCCATTGTATTAGTTTCCTAGAGATTCCATCACAAATCACCACAATCCAGGTGGCTTAAAACAACATAAATTTATTATCTATTAGCTCAGGGTGCCAGAAGTCTGAAGTCAACAAGTTAGTAGGGCCTCATTCCCTCCAAAGGGTTCAGGGGAGAAGCTTTCCTTTCCTCTTCCAGCTTCTGGGTGTTGCTACATAACTCTACTTTCTGCCTCCATTTTCACATGGGCTTCTCCTCCTCTGCCTTAAATGTCTTTGTCTTTTTTCTTTTTAAAAATTATTTATTTTTTTCCATTATGATTTATTTCCCCTATATCCTCTCCCACATCCACCCACCCCCCTCTCTCCCACAATCACTACACCGTCATGGAGTCCATGAGTTCTTTCTGCGTTTTTTCCTTTTTGCTCATTCCCTCCATGCCCAGCTCCTCCCATTCCCCAGAGCTGCCAGCCTGCTCTCTATGAGTCTGTCTCTATTTTAGCAGTTTAGTTTGTTCGTTGGATTCTAGATGAGAGTGAAATCATGTGTTACTTATCTCTCTCTGACTGGCTTATTTCACTTGGCATAATGTTCTCCATATACATCTATGCTATTGCAAATAGTATTTTTTTTTTTACGGCTGAGTAGTATTCCACTGAGTAAATACACCATAGCTGTCTTAGTTACTTGTCTGCTAATGGACACTTGGACTGCTTCCAAATTTTGGCTGTTGTACATAACACTGGAGTGAACATAGGGGTGTATATGTTCTTTCAAATTAGTGTTTTGAGTTTCTTCAGATAAATTCCCAGAAGTGGAATCACTGTGTCATAAGGCAGTTCCATATTTAATTTTTTGCAATGGTCTGTAGACATATGAAAAGATGCTCAGTGTCACTAGTCATCAGAGAAATGCAAATTAAAACCACAATGAGATATCACCTCCCACCTGTCAGAGTGACTACCATCAATAAATCAACAAGCAACAAGTGTTGGTGAGGATGTGAAGAAAAGGGAACCGTCCTGCATTGTTGGTGAGAATGAGGATCGGTGCATCCACTGTGGAAAGAAGTATGGAGTTACTTCTTTGTCTTTCTCTTATAACCTAGGAAGCTCTTATCTCAAGATTCTTAATTTAATTACCTTTGCACAGACCTCTTTTGTAAATATGGCAATAATCATAAGCTCTGAGAATTAAGACATGGACACATCTTTTTTTCTCTCTCTTTTTTTTTTGCAGGATCGTTTTTGGGTGTGGGAACAATGTCACTATTTAACTCACTCTATCACCAGGCAGGAGAGAGGCAATTTCCTCTACTGCTCTGCTGGAAACTGACTGTTTGTATGCCCCTAAAATTCTTATGTTGAAACCTAATCACAACTATACCTGAACAACAATTAAAAAAAAGAAAAAAAAATCTTTAGGAAAAAAAAACAACCCAAACCCTAATTCCCAATGTCATGATACCTGGATTTGGGGAATTTAAGAGGTGATCAGTGCCTTATTAAAGAGACTGCAGAGGATTCCCTTTCCCTGTCTGTCATGTGAGGAGACATTGAAGACATGACTATGGACCAGAAAGTAGGGCCTCACCAGACATAGAATCTTGTGACACCTTGATCTTTGACTTCCCAACCTCCAGAACAGTGAAAAGATAAAATTTCTATTCTTTATAAGCCCCCAGCCTATGATATTTTGTTACAGCAGCCAGAATCGACTAATATACTCCTTGCTTTGAAGGACCTTTCTGGACAGACTGAGTTTTGTTTGTGGATATTCATGGACTAGCTAGGAATAAGTGACTCCTAGTAGTGCAGGTGCAGGAATATTGGCTTTGTGATTGACCAGTGCCTCACCATTCACTTGGCCCTTTCTTAAATGAAAGGGGCCAGATAGCACAAACATGGTCAGACACAAGTGTAAGCAGAGTATGCACTTAAATAAATATGTATTTTATAGGATAGATACACTTTCTCTTCATTTTTCCAGTCTCAGTCTCATTATGGCCTACTAGATTATTAAACATATTCTTGAGTTGGGTAATGTTTTTTTAAGAAAGAGAGTTTCAGACTACTTTTTGTGAGTCCCAAGCCTTTCTTGCACAAGGTGGTTGCTGGGAAGCTGTTGATTTAGGAAACTGCCTTCCTGACATGCATTGCAGTGCTTAGAAACTGAAGTTCTTCATAAGGCAGGCTTCCCAGGAGTTTTGTTTTGTTCCCTAAGTGGTGATCCATCAATGTAATCCTCTTTGGAGAAGAAATTACTTACTGTAACATTTGTTTTCTGAAAATGCATTATCATTGATAGATGACTGTAATCTACTCTTCCATTAGTTTCTTGGTAATACATTCTCTATCTTTTTTATTGTTACTGTTTCTAGTACTTAGATTCAGAGCGAGAACTTTAGAGTCACAAGGTAACATCGGCTATCAAATAGTCTGAACTTAATAATCAGATAACTGTTCCAATTTTAGTCACTTACATTAGTACCCTAGGAATGAACAGAAATCTCTAGTAATCCTTTTAGAGACTGCTAGGAACTGACAGTCTCCCTCCTCTCAGGTAAGAGAAAGCTAGTGGTACATAATCAATTCCAGATCAATTTGTGAAGATTTACTATGGTAAAAGGTAATAATGGATCATTTCTTAAATATTGTAATAGCATGTAATAAAAATATCTGCCTATTTGAACAAACACCTGTTTGAAGGAGAACTACATAGCAAACAAGTTTCTCCACATGTCTACTGCAAAAACTACTTGATAGTGTCCAGGTGCTTGGGCAAAGTCAAGGAGAGTTCTGAGACTCTGTCACCCGAGCCAAATCAGGCCTGTCAGAGTGGAAAAATTAGTAAAGGAAGGGAGAAAGCAGTGGGGCAATTAATGAGAATACAAATATGAAGCTGGGAATCTGAGCGAGTTTTATTCTGTCATAATATTCGAAACAAAAAGTGCTCAGCTAAGCAGCAGACAACAATGACAGATTATTTTAAGAGCACAATCTTTTTATTCTTGATAGTTAGGCAGTTTATTTAATATTTGATAATTGTAAATTCTTCTGCTAATATTATTTACACATTTTTACAAGATATCTGTAGAATGGTAAATGCATTCTTAAGTTTTGGGTATAAACTTTTACAAGGTAAGTTTATGCACCATTTAGTTTATATTATGTTTTGATCAGTATTTTTTAAGTGTGATTTTGAGATATCCATTATGACCTACTCCTTACAAACTCATTCTCTGGCCTCTACTTATTTAATGGTATGATGTTTGTTCTACCACTCACATTGACCTCAGTAAATATTACATGACTTTATTCTATAATGAAACCTCTCTTCTTTTGCCCTACTGGTCACAGAATTATCTTGGATTTACACTTACTAGCGGGTAGCAATTTTCTTGGTCAGGAAAGTGGGCGTTGTGAGGCACAGGTGTTTGCCTACATTTCTTAGGCCTGAATCTGAAGGTACATACAAAAGCAGGGCATTATAGAAAGAAAGTCTTTATAGAGTGCTCGAAATTGTGTGGTAGGTTGAAGTTGTCAGTGTTTTGGACAGCTGGTGACATGTAGGCCATCAGGTTTCCCTGTTCTTGAGTCAGAGGTGCTTATGCCTGGCTACCCACTTCAACAACTTGGGGAGCTTTCAAAAGGATTTTAATGTTATACCCCACTAATGGTGACTTAGTTGTCAGGATAGATCCTGGACAGACAGACATATCTATCTATCTATCTATCTATCTATCATCTTATCTAGTTCCCTAGGTGATTCCAGTGTTGAACCAGGGTTGGAAACCACTTATTTATGTGAACAGAGAATACATATTAACAAAATCTCAAATAGTTATTAGGTAAAACTGTTCATACTTCACATTTGTAGATTTCATATTTGTTTTTCAGAGTAATTTACATTTTTAGCAGTTTAATCAGTACTTAACCAGCTGCATAAACTGATCACACAGTACCAGAATGGGATATAAATTAGCAGTTCTCTACTGTGGCTAAACATTAGATAATTTGTTTCACAGACTTTCACAAATCTTAATGCCCAGGCTATGCTCAAACCAGTTAATTTAGAATCTTTAGGAATGAGATTCAGGCATTAGTAACTTTTTTTAACAGCTCCCTATATGGTTCAAATGTAAAGCCAAGTTTAAGAACCATGAATCTAAATAAATATTTATTTGATTTTCTTTAAATGGTTTCAGTTAAGCCCAGTCTCACTCTAAGTCTTTTTTTTTTTCAGGATATTATTGATAGACTAATAATTTTGAATTCTGAAGCTAAGATTCGTTCTTTATTCAACTATGAGCAATCACATATCTTTGGTCTAAGGTAAGATGCTAAATATTACTTGAGATATATTTTGATATTGCAGAAACATGATAAAAACATCTGTTCCATATACTTTCAAAAAGTATTTAAAATAATCTAATTTTAAAGCATATTTAAAAGTAATTTGCCTTCCTGTAGTATTACACACAAAGTAAATTATAGCCATTATATTTTTATATTATGGCCTCTGTCTACATTTAGGTTCTGTGTTATTGCAGTGTCTTCCACTTTTGTTAGATTTACAGAGGCATTTGGCAGACTATATAGTTTACTCAGGAATGAATTGGGGCTTCCTGGTTTTATACTAGGTTAGGTTCCTGCCATAATATAGTCTCAGAAGGGGCCTAGAAATAGCTGATTTATCTTGAAGCCCAAATTTTGTTCCTTTATGTTAATCATATTGTATAACTTCAGTTTCCCAAGTTTTAAATCTTTCTGGTTGAGTGTATGAGAGCTGTCCAGAAAAAGTCCAGCCACTGTTAATATAACAAGAACAGTTTGTGTGGCATCGATGTAACCTGGCAGCCAGGGAGAGTGGACTGCAGTGCATGTGTGTGAACAATGATGACTTCACCGTACTAGTCAGTGGGGGTGGTAGACACCATGGTGTTATACATGGTGTTAGCATGTGTACTGTGTGGCTATTGCATTCAAAATGACTATGAGAGGAGAGCAACACATCTGCTTCAAATTTTGCATTAAGCTTGGACATTCCTCTGTGGAAACTATTTGGATGATTCAGAAAGCCTTTGTGGATGATGCAATGAGTACAGTGCAGATAAAAGTGTGGCCCAGCCCTGGCTGGTGTGGCTCAGTGGATTGAGTGCTAGCCTGCAAAGCAAAGTGTCACTGGTTCGATTCCCTGTCAGGGCACTTGTCTCGGTTGTGGGCCAGGTCCCCTGTGGGGGGTGCACGGGAGGCAACCACACATTGATATTTCCCTCCCTCTCTTCCTCCGCCCCTTCCCCTCTGTCTAAAAATAAATAAATAATATCTTTTTAAAAAGTGTGACATAAATGCTTCAAAGATGGTTGAGAATCTGTTGAAAGTGATCCATGTTCTGGAAGGCCTGCAACAAGGAGAACACCTGAGAATGTTGAACGTGTACAGCCTGTAATCAGCGAAGATTGGCGACTGACAGTGAGAGAACTAGAAGTTGATGTGGGGATTCCAACAACTGCTGTGTCCAAGATTTTGACTCAGGATCTTGTCATGAAACATGTCGTGGCAAAATTCATTTCTCAGCTTCTGATACCAGAAAGATCATTGTGGTGTAGTTACTAATGACTTGATTCAAACTACTACCAATAAACCAGATTTTCTCAAGAAGGTCATAACCAGAGATGAATCATGGGTCTGTGGCTATGATCCAGAAACCAGGGCCCAGTCATCCCAATGGAAGTTGCCTGCTTCTCCACACCTGAAGAAGGCACAGCAAAGTCACAGCAAGATCATGACCATGTTTTGAAAGTGGAAGGGATACTGGAAGAGCTATGTGAGGTCTCAAGGGGCCTACTTTAAAGGGGACTGAGACGTCATTGTCCTATGTGCAGTAGTTCTTGTATCTTGTGTCTTCTTCAATGAAATCTCTACTTCACTTATGGATGGATACTTTCTGAACAGACCTTGCATATTCTTTAAGATTTTATTTAGCATGTTCAAATGGACAGGGTTGGGGTGAGAAGGAGAAGTAGAGGTGTTTGGGCTACAGAGAATCATAAAATTCTTAACTTTTGGTCACATTGAGACAAATAACTCCTTTCTTGATCTACAGATTACTATCTCTAAAAGCAGCTGAATTAAAGAAATATTCTTAGGTTTAAGATTTTTTTCTTCTTTCTACTAGCAGAATAACTTTTTCAGGCATGAGGGAGAGGGTCATGGAGAATGCTCTGCCAAAGAAATAAAGCAATTACTTTTCTAAAATTAGAATTATCTGATACTAATGTATATTATAGATCTTGGACTCAGAATTTTTTTAACCACTCATTAATAGCTGAGCTTCATTTCACCATTCATTAACAGTTCAAAGAAGATGTAAAAATCTGCAGCTGTTACAGTCCATTGGATGATGTGCCCTTTATCTCTAAATGAATTTCACACTAAATTTTAACTTTCTGTGTATAACATCTGATGTATCACATAGCAAAGTGTTGAGGAATATTAGGAAAAATTCATTCAATAGAACCTCCTTTTGCATGGCAATTATGTTTCTGAGTTTTGTCATTATAGAACACAGATTTTGGCCTTTTGTTATTGACATATTAAATGAATTTCTTCCTGTTTTCTATATTTTTTGATAGAATAGTGTTTTTCTTTATTATTCTGGCAAAAATAATTAACAATAGGATTTTAAGTTATGTACAAAGCAGTCCAAGAAGTACAATGCTCCTGGGAATCGAATACATCAATTTCCATAGTGTGTGCTTTCTCGTAATACCCTAATGGAGTCAATCTATCCTACACTAGAAAACTTGCCATTTCATTGCTGATACATATAATAGAGTTGTGCAGTGTAGTAGTCAGTTAGCAACACAGACTCGGGAGTACACTGCCTGTTGTCCACTAGTTGTGTGAGGTGAGATCTCCATTACTCATCTGTAAAATGGAGGAAAACTATATATTTTTCAGAATTTTTGTAAGAATTACATATGAAAAATAAAGCTTAAAACAGTGTTTGTCTTGTAACAAGCACTATAAAAATGTTAGTAATAAATGTAACAGCAGTAGTTCTTTAAATGTTGATTTTTATTTATTTTCTCTTTATTGTTTTTGTGTTTTACTAGGAAATACATTTTGTCTTCATTTTTTCAGTATCTCAGTAGTCTTCTGTATGCTGTCAAATAGTTTGCTGTGTTAGTATTCAAAGAAAATGATAAAATTTCATTTTGAAATTTCATTTGAAAAATGAAGACATTTGTATTTTATGTGCCTTTTAACAAGTTTTTAATTCACAAGAAATTTATTTCATTGTATTGTGAAGATCTTTCTTATAATACTGGGTTGACCAAAAAGTTTGTTTGTTTTTTTCTGTAAGATGGCTCTAGTAGCACCTAGTTGTCTTTAACTTCATTCTAAACAATTTTGTTAGATTGTATTATGACAGCTGTGATATGTGTTCATTTACCAAAACTTATCAAAATTGGTGAATTTTTGTGTAGCTGTTTTAATATTGAAGATGAAAATATGCACAACATTTTGGCATATTATGCTTTATTATTTCAAGAAAGGTAAAAATACAACTGAAATACAAAAAATAAAAAAGATTTGTGCATTGTGTGGAGAAGGTGCTGTGACTGATCAAATGTGTCAAAAGTGGTTTGTGAAGTTTCATGCTGGAGATTTCTAGCTGGATGATGCTCCATGGTGGGGTAGACCAGTTGAAGTTGATAGCAGTCCAATCAAGACATTAATTGAGAGCAATCAGCATTATACCGCATGGGAGATATCTGACATACTCAAAATATCCAAATCAATAAAGTTATTGGTGAAAATTTTTAGCTTCCATCTGCTTTCATTCTGGAAAACCTATAATGAAATGTTAGAGCTTTCTCAAGGGTAATTTGTATAAAGCTTGATTTCTGCCATCTCACCTTAGCCAATGATATAATAAGTTCACAATTTTCTCTTTAAGTTATGAATAAACTTGACTTCAGATGTAATCAAACTGATGTCTTAGATGTTAAAAATAAGTTATTGGTGCAAATGAGAAGTATACCTTTTATGTTATGGAAAAAAACTAAACAGACTTTTTTAAACCAACCCAATATTTAATTCTGTTGTATTTTTAAGTCATACTTTAAAGTTACTTCATTTTTTTCTAATTTCAGTGTAGCATTGGTCATTGAGGTCCAGTTGAGTGATAATTTAGATCATAGCTTTGTCTTACATAAATTTTGTGTTTCTGTGTGTTTTGGATTGTTACCTGTATCTTTCACTCCCATAGTGTTTTGGTTGTTTCTAATTGTACCTTCATGGTACTGTTCCCTTCAGCAGATCATCTCGTTAATGTGTTTAACTTTTACATTCAGCACCCCTGTTCCATTTACTTAATTTTTACCCCTGCTTCAAAAATTTAGCATAAGGGTAAGTTTGATAAAACTTCTTTAGGTTATCCACAGCATTAAGATGAGGCTATATGAGACTTAGTAAAATACAGATTTTCACATTTCAGCACCATCACATTCTATTTAAAATTTTGAATTTTTATTTGCCAAGATCTTATAAATCTTATATGGTAAGTCTGCCCTTTACCACTATTGGTATCAGTGTGCAGACATGCATTCCATGTCCCATGTTAAAATGAAACAGATCAGAACATCTGGAAAAAGAAACTTTCTTTGACCTTACATCTCTCTCTAGCTACTGTCCTATTTCTCTGCCTCTCACTATGGCAAAAGGCAATTTGTACGAACTATGCCCACTTACTCGAGTCTCTCTGCTTCTCAGCCGACATAGATTTGACATTGACTCTATAGCTCTATCAGAACTGCACACCCTGCTCATTTTAACATTACTTGTAACTTCATAATGATGAATCTAGTAGATTCTTCTCTTTTAATTCTTGTTTTTCTGTAGCTATCAGTAGCATTTGATATGGTGGACGATTTCTTTAGTGTGAAAGTTCTAATTTCTTCACTTCTGTGACACCACACACTTCTGTGACTGCTGTTTCTTGTCCGTTGCATTCTCTAAGCAAGCTTTGAATGTTCAACTACTTACTATTGGTCCCAGGCCCGTTTTTGTCTTTGCAGTAGTCCCCTCTTACCCATAACAGCCCTGCAGTGGATGTCTGAAACTATAGATAGTACTGAAACTCTATGTCTATGCTATGTTTTTCCTATACACACACACACCTGACTGCTTCTGTTTAGCATATCCACATTGCAAGCATCAATACTCATGCACTTTAGGGCGATTATTAAGGAAAATAAGGGTTACCAGAACATAGGCACTACAGTGTCGCTACAGTTGATCTGATAACCAAGGGGCTACTGAGT